GCTCTGCAACGAATTCCTGTGTGACCTTGGTCAAGATGATTAACCTCTGTGCAAAATGGGAACAATGAACAGCTTTTACCAGTCATAGGTAAAACTAGCTAAACGTAGCAAGTTCTGCAAAGTGTTTTGGGTTCTTCAATAGGTAGATGCTGTATAGGTACTGAATCAGGCAGAGGAGGGAAATGGTTGAAGCAAAAAGCTGGAGTTGAAAAAAATGGAAGGAGAAAAAATATGAGGTAAGGAGAACAGAGAGTCTAGGAGAGGAGTGTGAAGATGGAAATAGTTGTGGTGAGTTGGAGGTATTTTAATTATAAAAGATGTAGTCCTATTCAGTGTTAGTAGGGCAAGAGAAGAACACTAGGATAAATGTGTTTGTCTATCTACTTCTAAAGTGATGAATCCTAGGACGTTTCTGAACCTTGGGAATCAGTTATACCAATCACCTTTCTTCAAAGTTCAAGGACAACAACAGTGAAATAATATCTGAAAGTCAAAAAGGAAATATTTTTTCCAATGCGTACATTACAACTTGCATTATCATTGAAAAAAGTGCTAGAAATTATCATTGAAAAAAATAATGTGAAGGAGAACATCAGTCTGTAATAAATATAGTTCTCATTTAAGAAGTATGTTTCAAAATAGTGTATTCTACTTGAGAGAAATTTTCCATACTCCCTACTACAATGAGTCTTCTATTAACTACTTCAGGCATCTGGAATTGATTGGTGATCATCAACTAAGCTGTCTTTTGGATTTGGGATTTTTTTTGATTGGTTGAGTGGGTGGGGTTTTTTTATTACTTTATTTAGGCTCATGCACCATGGTCTTGCTTATAGTTTATAAATATTCACTTTGCACACTACCTTTTATGCAGAGCATCATGATGTATTTGGAAGTCATAAGTCTCTGTATCAGAATGCTGTTTTAATCGACATACTTATTAGATTACAAAAAAAAAAAAAGGTACATTTTTACTTTTATTTCCAAGTTCATTCTGGAACATTAAAAGAAAAAAAAAGATACAATGAATTTTAAGAATCTGAGTGTTTAATCTTCCAGATTTTAGATGGCTGTAAACTTTTGCATTTACTGCTGATGAACAAGATTTATCTCAGTTTTTCGCTATCATAAAAAGTTGATGATTTTCAGTTAAAAGATGGACTAGAGATGCAACAATTGATAATTCCCTGAGTGTAGAGTGAATCTGGGAAAAGGAAGTATAGAAATAAGGCTGATTTTCTATAGGAAATATGTATATAATGTCGACAGGTGAGAAGCTTAGTGACAAAACTTACCCAATTGCAGTATTTAGCAGAAAGTAATTTGTGGTGTTCTGAAACTCTACTCAGTTGAGCAGTCTTAAATTGGACCATACTGATCATGAATGGAGACTTTTTTTACTAATAACTGGAAATCCATTGCAAATTGCTCTGTGTTACAAATCAGTTAAGATCCCTCTGGTGAGTAGCTTGGCATTATGTTGATACAACCTCGCTTGCCTCCAACACCTCAAAACTGTTTGTCTGAAAAACCCTTGGATAGACTGTATTTGTTCTCCAGTTCAAATGGCATTACCTGGGAAAGCAATTCTACCGTATGCTGAGCACCGTCAGTTCCTGTTAACTTCAGTTTAAGTGAAGGGGCACAGCCCTTCTTAGGAGATGCAGAGTAGTGAAATTCAGTTCTTTGCAGAAGGTCTGCACAAAGCCTTTGTATCATTTAAGTGCCACTTAATTCTTTATAATGGAGCTCGGAGTGGATTTGAAGAATCTGATAGGCTTTTTGCTCACTTGTCTGCAGAGGGCTGAATTTCACCCCTGGTGAATATACACAGTAAAAAGGCAAAGACACTGCCTCAGGAAATACACCATATTCCTTTGCTTTGACTAGTGTTACTCAGTTTCAATTACTGATGAAAATTCTTTGATACCATGCTGATAGAAATCATTGTACACTTAGCTCCCTCCCTTCGTTGCAGTTTAGCTTCACTGTGATATAATGGGCAAACTGAAAAGTGAAAATGCAAAAAATAAATGTAGTTTTGCAGACAGGAACAGGACCTCCCTTGTGCCATGGTGGGAGAGAAACTGTGTGTTGGTGAGGTTCCTGAAGCAAAGCGACAGGCACGTGGGAAAGCAAAATTAAAGGAATGTGAAAGCCTGTAATGGGAAAGAGGCCCCAGAGGGAAGCAGGATGGGGAGCAGGGGTGCTGCTGTCTGCTACACGTTTGGGATTACTCCTGAGGGTGTATTCAGGAATTTTCAGGTGTTTATGAACATTTCATGTTTAGTATTATGGTTTACATTTTTGTGGTACTGGTGTTGATCCACACTATTGCTGGTTATGTGTCATTAATAAATTAATAAACCATTTTGATACCACTTTTCTGATAAACCATGTGAGCTGAGTAGCTTTTCCCTGCAAAAGAAGTTGTTCTGGTCCTCAAGACCTAAATGCATGAGCTGGTCTATGTACTTAACACAGAAACGTTGAGGACTTCATGTTCTGTAAAATAATCTTGGTGCATCCTGAATTTGTGCAGATATAGCTGATACCCAGAGCAAGGACCCCATATACATTTGTGATAATACTGGTAGCTGCATTCTGAGATATCAAGCAAGCAAACACTGAGAGTAATTCACAGAGGAGATACTTCTTTTTTTTTTTTTTTTTGAGAATTAGTTCAAATTATGTTTCCAGAAAAACCTCCCAGCTGAGATAGTAGAGGCAATCTAGTACATATTTTTGAGTTTAACTGACTATTCAGTCTTTCAGTGATCCTTCATATTGTTGAAACATTGATAGAAATAGCCATTGAGTATGTGAATTGTGAAAGACGTGCATGCAAATGGGTGAGGTTTGAGTTAATGTTTTACTGAGCTTTTTCTGTTAAGCCTGCAACTGGATGCATGCCTTCCCTGAGAAAGGATAAGGCTATTATCTGTTACAGAGGAGATGTTAGTCTCAAAAACTGATATGATCCAGTTATCAGCAGAGCAGTACCTATGGAGCCCAAGCACAATCCAGATTTCCGTGTATTATGTGCTATAAAAACTTAGTGGATTTGCTTCAAAAACCTGTAGTTGTGAAAATTATTTGGGAGTCATTCTACCAGTGAGATATATATTACCTAATGAACAGTGCATATTCCTATGTAGAAGTTTAGGAGCTGAAGTGTTTTTTATGATGAAAATCTTAATATGAATTTCAAATTGAGCTTCCACTGAAAGAAATCAGAGTTTGTTATATTGCTAGACCTTACCAACAGTTGTACTGAAACTGAGGACATAAGTTGTTTCATTTCAAAATATTGGAAAGGATTCTATTAAAAGACTTTAAATTGCACTTCTGTTTCTTGCCGTGATCCAGTGGCATTCGGAATTGTATTCTTAGTAATTCCAGAAAGAGAAATTCAGGCTGAATCACACATTCAGGTGAGCATAATTCTGCTACTCCCACTAGGATAGATATGCATTTTAATCTACTTGGACCCCACATTAATTTGATTTAGAAAAAGCTTCTTATACCCTTATGGTGCCAAGTATTTCTCCTACAGTCTTTTTTTTGACAGGCTTATGACTGTTGAAGGCATGTTGTGTGTATTGGTGTCACCCATCAAAGCAGAGGAAGGCATGGTCTGTGTCTCTGTATGTGGAACAAGGTCTGGCCTTGAGTCCTAGGACACTTACACACAAATTGAAGTGGTGAAGCTTTCTTATTGTCCAGCAAAGGATTGATGAGATGATCTCTGAAGGAAATGAAGATACATGTATTGTGTGGACTATGAGATGTAGAGTCTAAGCAAAAGTTAATTTGGGGGGACCTTACCTTGTTTAGCACTCTGCACGTGTGTGTATCACTCTATAAGTATTTCATGAAAAGTATCCCAAACACCTCGCTCTACATCTTTGTCCACTGGAGGAGAGTGAAAGAATAACAAACTACTAGATGTTAGTAATATTGTTTACTATTCTGTGAGAGGGAACTCAGATACCACAAAGGTGAACTCAAAAGAGTTATAATCTGGAAGGAAGTCTACAGGTATTAAAGCCCCTTTTCTTCTTGCCTTGGTGAAAAATTTCTCCCTATTACTCCTTTGCTACTTTAGCTACTTTACAATTTTGCTGCTCCTGTAGCTACTTTATTGCAGCTAGAGCTCTGTAGTTCCAGACTACTTGCTGTGTGTGGCTTTGAGGAAATTTTACAGATCCAGCTTTTCAGAGACACAAGCATTAAGAGGAGACATACAACACATATCACACCATCTTTCAATTAAGGACCTTCCTAACTAGACTTCTTTTCCCTTGTAGTCATAGGGTGTTTGTACCTGTTTTGTCCCTCTGCTTGTTGTCACCTTCTCCATGATTTCTCAGCCTTTACTTCCTTCAACACCTGTCTTCCTTATGTTCCTAGTTTCTGCCCCTAACTATACCCCTACCATTGCAAGTATCACAGAGTTTCATGACAGCTGTCATTACATTGACCCCTCTAACTGTTTATTATAGCTTTTCTCTTTACACTGTATGTCTCACATCTATGAGACACTATGCACTGTAAGCACATCAGGGTAAGGAGTGTCTGTTCAGGTTTAAGGAGAGTTTAGCCCAATGGATCCTGGTTCCAGGTCATTTTTAGGCTACCATAATAATTAATTAGGACAGAAAGGCTTCAATTTTTGGCCCTTCTAGCAATGTTTCCTTGATTGGAAGGAGCATGAAATAGGACAAATAGCTAGTTTCTATGTTCTTTTGTTTAATAATAGAGCTGTCTTTTGTTTTATTGCTGGCTTTTAAGTTTGAAATGAAATTTGTTGGCACAGCAGGTGTTGTAAATAATTTTGTAAATTGCCTAGAGCTGTCTACAGGATAACCTATTGCTGAATTATCAGATGATGAAAATAGACAACTCAAATGAGAAAGTGTTTAGAGATAAGTGAAATGTGAATTCTCCTGCCAATTGTTTTTGGTTTTGTTTTTTCTTCTTCCTTTTCTGTTCCATAGCACGAATTATCAAAACAAAACAGTGGTGTGAAATGCTTCCATGTTTAGAAGGAGAAGGCTGTGATTTGCTAATCAATAAATCAGGCTGGACCTGTACACAACCAGGAGGACGGATAAAGACAACCACGGTAGGTCACTTCTCGGTTCTATACTTATTTAATTTTTTATTCACTTTAGTTTATTGAAAAACAAAAAGTGAGACTTTAATTGCTTTTCAGCACAGTTATGCAAAGCCTGTTGCCTTATAATTAATCTGTGTGCCTAAGTGTGCATGTTGAAATGCACAGCAAAGTTATCAAAAGGATAATATTGGAAAGAATAACAAAGTAAATTGTGTAATTCCAAGGGTTACCGAGAGTAGAAATCATATCAAGATTTTCTTAAAAGGCACCAATGACTTAACTAACATTTGTATCCAACCTGAAGACAGTATCCTATTGCTTCCTTGTATGTGAATTTTCTTATGCTGAGGTAGTGTAGGGTGTAAAACTGAGCACATGGTCTAGCAGGGCGAAAAGAAAGCTTTCACTGGTAGTTCTGGAGAACATATTTTTGCTATTCCCACTATACTGGAAAAGCAAATTGCACAGATCTCTAGTTTTCAGTGAGACCTACAGAAAACACAGCAAAAGATCTCTTCTTCCAGTTTTCCTTTAGTCCTGGTTTGTTGATAAATCCCTCATCTCTGATTGGGTGTCTTGGGGCTTGTGCTTTTAGCGAAGCTGAAAGTATATACGACAGTAATAGTTTCTATGGCCTGTAATATATCAAACGTATTTCTAGAAAATGATCTCAAATGCCAGTAATTCTTTGACTTAAAAAGTGGAGAAAATCTGAAGAGATATAATAGAGCAATTTTCTGATAGCTTGCTCGACCTCTTGAAATTATTTTCCCTCCTTATAATCTTTTTCTAGGTTTACAGGGAACTTGAGTGTAATTTAAATAAGTGCAATTTCAAGAGTATTTAGTCTTAAAAGTACTTGTCAGTGAGGACTAAAGTAAGACCCATCATCCCCTGCACAATTTCTCTGTCTGAGCATGAGACAGACAGCAGTATAAAAACTTTTATTGTTTTAGAATGCATGTATTTTGGAAAATAAATGTAATTCTCAGCTTTTAAAAAGAAAGAAGATTTGATCATGCTTTATGAGATAGAAACAAATTTTATGAATTGTCTCTGTTTTGATTCTTCTGTGTTTATCAGATATTTATTATAGACAGGACTGTAAAACTTAACTCAGTCTCTGAGGCCTTACTTAAACATGGTTTACCTTTAGATCCTTTCCATTCAAGTTATGTAAGAGTGACATAAAAAACCAAAGGAAATTGCTTTTAAAACATTTATGCCAGCTTTCAAGGACAAGGAGATCTAATACAGTAACTTTGTCATACTTGAAATATAGTCTTAAATCTTGTTAATTCAGGAGTTTTTTTTCTGTATCTGAGGTAAACAGAAAACCCATGTACTGTGACACATTGCCAGCCATCATTTTAGTTCTTTATTTGATGTTTTATGCTAATGGCATGACTGAGTAATGCAAAGTAAGCACTGGATCTATCTTTCAGTTTCTGTCTTTATTGAAGTGAATCAGATATGCTTTCAGATTAAATACCAGAAGCCTAATTCTGAACTCTTACTTGTCTGTATAGCTCTTTAATGCTATTGACATGAATAGAATGACTCATGAATTTGATTAATGTAAATGAAATCATAATCATGCCCCATCAGTAAAATTAAGGCCGTGGCAAGTGTAGTATTATAAAACAGACTCCCCACACAGATACATCATTGTCGTTGGTGAGGAGAGATTCTGCCAAAGAGCCAACTGTAGAACAGCTCTGAGCATAAGCCCTCATCTAACATCAAGCAGTTTTCAACAGTTGGTATCACACATGCAGACACACAACAAACACACAGTACTTTTCAGTCAAGCCAGACTAGCAACTCAGAATACTTACAGAAACACTGAATGCAGAAGGGGGAGAGAGAAAAAAGAAAGAACAAAAACCCACAAGAAATTCTAGTCTATAATACAGTATTAGTAACATAGTAAGAAATTTTAAAAAATAAGTTCTTTAACCACTTGGTTGAAGGGTAAGTTTTGGACAATAGTAGTAGATTTGGAAATAGCCACCAGATAGTATGGGGAAATAAATGTCCAGACATATTGAATTAGTTACTTTACACTGTTATCAAGTAGAAACAATTCTTGACCACATCTCCAGCAATAACCAGATTATGTCCTTAAATTTTTCACTAATAAATTTTATTAACACATATATGTCAATTTTATGTTTGCAGGCCTTTCCTGATGATATAACTTGCACCCTAAAGATATTTTTGGCAATTGGTCTTGCGTTATCGTAGTGGTAGTAGACCATGTAGCAGAGATATTACTGTTTGGTAAATGCTGAAACAATAATTTGCCACCCATACTAAAGCTAGAAGAGTACTGAACTCTGATGAACTGAGACCAGCTGTTGTGATAATACCAGCTTTTGCATTGATTCCAGGAGGTTGTGTAGAAGTGCAGCCTTTTAAGTACTGAGTTTAGAAGTAGCACATAGAAAGGTAGGATAAGCAGAGATCTTATGTAGGACGTGAGTTTCCTTTTATGTGAGAATATACTTTAGGACTCATAGTTAAATAAGTTTCTAAAAAAAGGGAAGAAATAGGATTCCTTTTCTGTAGATGAGTTTAACATTTAGTATTTTTTCCATGAAAATTCCAAACAAACAGCAAATGAAAATACCCATTGCTGCAAAGCAAAAGCACAGTTTCTGTAAATTGTTTGGAAAGGGCTGCTGTTACTTTATATTTTGTGCCAAAATTGTTTATACTTTCTATGCAGAGCCAGATTTTTCAACTGCCTAGCACTTTTTGTGATCACCTCTGGAAATAATGCAACCAAATCAGAATTCTGTCCTCACATGGGTAGCAATGTTTTATATCCATTTTGTGCTCTCTTTGCACAGCCATAAAAGACTACACAAGGTGCAAGGCAAGGAAAATCAGACTCAAAGTATATTCTAAATGGATCTGGATGTCACTTCTGCCCTGTTGTTCTTTCTACAAGGTGTGAATGAACCAAAGAGTTTTCATCTGCTAAGAGGCTTTTAGAATTGAAGACTGACTGGGCTAACTGCCAATCTATGTATTAAAAGGCTGACTGTCAATACATGGAAACAATATGGGAACTTGTAAAAGAAGATAGCAAGACAATACTACACAATTTTTAGCTATTTCAGCATATAAGTACTTTCATATAAAAAAGGTCCTTACAGTCACTTTAAAATTTCCTGCCTTAAAAATTTCTTCTCCCTTTGCTATTCTTATTACCCTTCCAATTATTTGTCAAAAATTAAGCTATCTGATTTTTTAAAATAGTGCCCGGAGATACTCCTTTTTTTAAAGATGTTGCTGAAAGGCCTGTCTATTCTATATTTCAAGTATAAAACTTGCTAGTGTATAGATGAGAAGATACACAATGTATTGGTTTAACAGGGGAGATTAATTTTTAGCACCAAAGTGTGTGTATATGTTGCCAATGATCCATCACTACCTAATTGTTACTTAATTAATTCCTTCGTCTACATAATGTGATTTCAATGCATGGAGCTTAACTGAACATTCATGCGCCAGTTTCTCGGTAGCTAACCTCTTAAACCTTTGTGATTTTACTGCTAAATTAGCTGAAGTGGGAAATTAAGGAATGTGGAGAAGCTAAGAGAGAGCTCACGGTGGATAAAAGGTGTAATTACTCTGACATGGAGCTCAGTGCTTAGCTGGTAAAATTTACTAAGGATCTAGCTTCACCAAGGGACCTGACTTTCTTAATAGAGTTTACTTACACACAGAGCAACTTAGCATTCCCTACCATTAATATAAATGACATGTTGGCTGGGTTGGAAAGTTGTTCCTTACCCTGAAAACTACAATACCTATTTATATTGGCTGCAGTTTAAGTCAAGATTTTTCTACAAAGCTTTATCGTACACATATGTATGATAAAATAGATAAAATATACTGGTTTGCTTCTCATCACTGACTTATGAGCAATGTGTTATCATTCATAACATTGCATTCAAGGTAAAAAAATAAATATATACAGATATATGTTACATATTTGTAACATACTTGAGAATTTACTTTTTTTTAGACTGAAGACCAGCTGGAAATGTCCTGAGGCCATGGTCTACTGGTCTGAGCTTGGGACTGGGAGCCAGAACTCCTGAGCTCTAATCCCGGCTCTGACAGTGACTCCCTCTGTGGCCTTGGGTAAGTCACTGCACCTCTCTGCCTCAGTTTCCCCAGCAGTAAAAATTAGATTAACAATTCTTAGTTCCATACTTCAGTGAATTTGGGAGTCCTGACCTAACATTTTAGAGGTTTTAAAATTCAGAGTAACTTAAAAAAAAAAAAAGCCACTTCTATTTATAAATATCCTTATTGGTGATATTCATGTTGTTGTTAGGTATTCACATAACCCTGGCATTCTTGTACTTAGCCTCACCTGCGTTCCAGCTCTGAGTGTTTCTAAATGTGCATTTCACATCTCCACAGGTCAGCTGATTTTGTTTCATTAAACCGGTTTTCCAAGTATTTTGACATCCCGCCAGTTCTAGTTCTGTGTCCTTCTGGGGTACAATACCTACCAAAATAAGCTTTCAGGCAGCATCAAAATAGAGCAGTGGAATAATGCATGCCTGCCATGCCAAATTAAGTTTCCCTCTTCCCCTTTGTTAGAAGTGGTCAGTTCATGAAACAGATACAATAAATCCCCTTGTCAGCAGTTCATCTACTAAGTTCCTTCACTGTCCTAACTGTAACAGGAACATTAGATATAGACCAAGATTACAGAAGATACTTTTCAGGAGGCTAGTGTATCTCCTCATCCCAATCCAAAGAATGGCTTTTAGAAACGAGCAGGAAATTATGATCCCGAATTTTCCATCATTCATAGCCAGCTGTTGGGGAATCAGAATCTTTGACTATATTTAAGCTATGGGACCATCTTTGCTTAAAGTCCATGAACATGCACGATTGTGAGTGCCTATGTCTTCTCTTTTTTGTGTGTGTCTCTTTGTGATGGCATGCCTGCAGCTACCCTGTGAGAGATCTTAGCAGCAGCGGAAAGGGCCCTCAAAAATGCATTTATGTGGTGAAATGGGTCATTAACTCTTTCAGGTCATCCTCAGGCATACTTACTCTTAATTTCTTATTGTCACTAAGAATCATCTCTATTCTTAACTCCTCCTGTCAGCCAGTTAGAGTTACATGAGCTCTGAGACCACTGCTTTGCTAAGCATCATGCATCACAAAGTCCTTTAAAACTAACTCAGATCTCAGTAGTGTAGTTCTGAAATTGATATTTGAATAAAATTTTCCAAGACCACACCACATAACTGGAAGCTAGCCTGAAATATTAATTTCAAATGTTAAAACATTTATGTGTTCTACCTTATATATATATATATTCACCAAGTTGAGAAAGGGTAGAACATGAACACCTTCTGCAGAGTGTCTTTGGCAGATATTGTTAAGATCGAAGACGTCATCATATTTGGATTTATAACTGTACATAGGAACTACCAGAACTAGATTACTCATAATTAACATCTCATTCTAGTGTAACTGTTTATCTACAGAATCAGTCCTAGTTATTGTCCAGTGGTTTAACTGAGCCTTCTAATATTTTTTCATTAATTTGATGTTCTTCTCAGTAGTACTAGCTTGAATTATGAGAGAAAATGCAAATTCTTGCCATATCATAGCCATGTGCTTCAGTGTGCACTCTACAGATCTGTACCCCAAGACCTAGATTCAACCTGTTGTTTATTTCTATGGCTTACAAGAGATTTTTATGCTTTGAGCAGTTTCCAGTACTCATTGTTAGCAAAAGGTATCATAATTTGCAAATAGTCCATGATAGCAGTACTAAAACTAGATTGCTTTCTGTTAATTTCTAAGCATGTTACTATGGGAATTGAATGTCTTAAGTCTCAGAGAGGTTAAAAGCTAAGTTTCTAATTCTTGTGTTAGAAAAAAATAGTAGCTTGAGACAACTTACAAGCAGAGTGGTGGGATAGTCTTCATGGCCCCATATTTTAAGAACTTCATGCACTGGGAAAACAAAAAAACCTGAAATAAAATTCTTATGATGCTGAAACTCCTCACGAAGGCACCATGCTATTCCTATTTTGTAAGCTGTGCACTTCTTTGTCGTACCAAAGTATTGAAATCTGCTCATTCTATTTTTCATTATCATTATCAAAATGCACTTCTTTGTTCAAATAACTGATCTTCAAGTCCTAAGCCAAAATGCCAGCAAAGGTTTTGCCACTTTTGTAGACTTTATGTTGAAAGGAGCTGTCAGATACTTGAAGAACCACCTTAAAGATATTAGGTGCCTTCCTCTCTCCTGAATACTGAATACTGGTTTTACTAATGTTCAGTGATTCACACTACCTGAAAAGAGATCACAATTTAGTCCAAGAATAATGTACAGTAAAATAGCAGGATGTGTTGAAATAGTAATTTGTTACCATCTCAAATGATTCCTTCAAAGAAAATAGGGGATATAGAAGTTTTTCTTCTCTTTCAGAACATGTATTTTCCAATTATAATGGGGACTTATAATATCCTCATTTTTATTTGTCTTTAGAAAGTTCAGAAAAAATGAATACCTATTTCTGCATGGGCTATTTTAAAGATATTACAATTCCTGTACAAATATTAAAATCAATTTTCAGATAGATAAGATTTCTAGAGATATATCTTCTTTCAGGATTCTTTTTTCTTATTTCATATTGGGAATTTGCTCCTAGCATTTAGTCCAATCTTACAATGCTTGCTTAGCAACAGGGAAGTTTCAGATTCAGTGAGAAAAACTGGTTTCTGTTTAATGCTTAGGAACTATAGTTTTTCTTTATGATATGGATTAATCTATATTTAAAACCAGTTAGTTCACTGTAAAATGGGCTACTTTCGGATCTGTCTTGAGATCTGAACTGTCACCTTCAGTAAGTAACAAAAGCTGACTCTACCCAAGGCAATGATATTAAGCTTCCAATCATCTATTTCATGGTTTTGTGGAATAAATTCTGTTTTCAGTAAAAAAGCCAAGCAAAAAAATCATGTGTTTTTTATTTTTTTTTCTATGCTTTGAAAGTAGAATTCTGAAATGTAAATAAAACCACATATATAACTTGGTGAATTCATTGACCAGGATGTCATAGTGCGAACCTACCCAATAAATTGTGAACATCTAAAAATGTTCAAGTGTATCCAAAACTTTAAAAGCTGCATTTTAAGGAATGCCTAAATTGTTAAGTTGGTCCTACTTTAAAAAAAAAAATAGTTTAATTTGAAATTCTTTCAAATTCTAAAATTTTCCAGTACACCAGTAAAAATCATGGGGTTTTATGGGGCTGAGATTCTCATCAGTATGTTCAAAACCAAGAAAAGAACCTACATTTTAAAAATGGAAGTATCAGGACATAGACAGTTCACAGATTCAGTTATCTGCATGGAAAAATTGCAGGCCCATCAAAGAGTGAAGAGGCTAATAATAGATTTTGGTATTATTGTTTAGCACCTTAATCACCATTTATATTTAGGTAAACCTTTCCAAATACTGAAATAGCATCATAACTGGTCTAAGAAATAAGCATACTTAAGGGTATTGAAGGCATCTATCATAAGGTGAGCAGACATGACATAGAACCAGTGCATTTGTGGGGTGACAGCTGGCAGTCATGCAGAAAATGCTAGTTCATTACTTGTGTTAAGCAACTAAATCTTATTCCTCATTTACTAAACCAGAAAATTTGATACAGTGCTACCCACTCCTAGCATATATGCTTCATTGTAGATTGATATTGTCTGAAGGTTCTGATTACTTGCATTAATATGAGAAAATCAATTTTCATTTAATAAGTGACTGGAAAGAGAGTCTATCTGAGGAAACAAACAGGAAGATAACTTGTGCAATTTTGTGCTGTAAGTAGCACAACACTCTTTTTGTAAGACATGATTCAATAGATGCTCTATGCCATGTAGTTGAACTAAAGGGGACTGCAGGATACATTGTAAATACGGAAGAAAAATAGTTTTGAAAATGCAAACAGGGAAGAGAGCAGGAAAAGTCAACAGAGAACTTGAGTATATAGGGGTTTTTTTGTGGGCTTGTAGTGTAAAATTATGGAGGCTGGGAGCTGGTATGTTGCACTGACATTGAGAATTTAAAAATGCTAAAATTATTGCACATCGGTTTCACACAATGAAAGTGTTCATGCCACAAGTGTTAGAAGATGAAGTTGTTGTACATATATATCCATTTTGGAACATTTCCATTTTTAAGAATATCTCTAAAGATTTCTGTTAAATCATACAAAGCATAGAATTCTTGGACTGAACAAAACAAGCAATGAATAAAGAAAATGAAAAAGGTTATAGTTCAGGAATTTTTATAATACGTATGACACGTTATTTCTTAAAACCGTACTTGAAAATTAATTCAGAAAGGCATGTCACATTGAAAACTGTCATTTCAACAAGATACTGATGGAGGACCTGTGAACAGGGCATAATAACACTTAACAGGAGTGTATTGATCTAGGTCGAGGTGGCCTGGGAAGTGACAGACTTGAGAAAGGTCTAATGTTATTTTATTAAGAATGGTTTCAAAAGGATAAAAGATGTTAAGCTGTTAAGTGTTATTGAAAATCTGTGAAAGGTAGACACATAACAGACATTTCTGTTTTCCAGTGTTCCCCTGCTATATTTTCACTAACCATTTGGAATAGCAGTACTCAGTAGTATTATGTCTGCACATAAGTTTCTTTACCTTGGTGACAGACCTAAAGGATGAGGTTGCCATTTTTTTGATCTAGTTAATTCCTGCCTACGAGGGTTTGTTCTCAGCTACTCCTTTTGTTCCCTTGCATATTCAGTATGCTGGAGTATGCAGAAAGACAACTCAGTTTACAGAATTGTGGGAAAGTGATAGCCCAAAGCTCAGGCTATTCCTCTTTCTCATTAGACCTTAGCAATCTCATTACATGGCAGAGACAGGAGTTTGGAAGTGAACAAAACTGACTTCTCCTTAATCCAAATAAAGCCAGGCAAGGGTGGGACAGTAAAATCAGTCAGCAGAATATAGAATAAGACCTTTTCTTTGAATTGACAGTGCAGCTTCACGGTAGCCTAAACCAATCTAAATCCAAACTGCCCCAGACCTATTCTCCCAACCCACTCTGGCTGTATATGTCTGACCT